GTTCTCATTGAGCTGTCCATTGATGAGGAAGTGTAGTGTGGAGACAAACAATTTTGATTTGGCTGCATTTATTTGAACACTTGCTTTATTATACCTCCCTCACTGATTCAATAGTTGCAAATGTAAATTTGTACTAGCTCTGCAGGACAGATGTGTTCAATTTTTCCTATACGGTATGGAATAAAGATCATGCCGTTAGTGTTACATGCATGCAAATGGTAACTCACAATGATGTAAAGGCTAATGAAATTCAATTATGGGTTGTCCATAACTACCAACATTTCCTGAAGTGTACAAACTATACGCTTCAGGTAGGCGGGTTCATAACCAATATAACTTTCTAAAATGTTGAACTATAGACCCACCATCATCGGTTAAGTCACTGTGGGAGGGGGTTGAAAAGTGTACTCTCTGTACACCTATGATAATTATGGATGATTTACAGTGTAACACTAATGCTAGATTTAACTGAAAATAATTTTATAGTTAACAAATATAAAACATTTTCCGTGTTGATATACAGTTATATCAACACGAGTGGAAATTGGGAAAACGAGAAATTGTGTGGAAACACGACGCCCGAAGGGCGGAGTGTTTTCACAGAATTTCGAGTTTTTCCAACTTCCACGAGTGTTGATATAACTATATATCAATACGGAAAAAATGTTTTATATTTGTTTTATAATATAGCAATGTCAAAAGCCCGGAGAATAAGAAAAATTTCCGTGTTAACAAGCGGCCGAAAATTTCCCGTGTTGACATGGAGTTATATCAACACGGCTCTTAGCCAATCAGCGTTCAGAATTAACAAATGCTATATTATAATTTAATATATTGAATATATTTTAAATGTTCCATTTGTGGAGGTCAGTGGCATCCATTCTTGTGGAAAATTCAAGTAGCTGTGCTGCAGCAGCTAGCTGCAGTGGCACAAATTATTGACATAACCAAAATTTTAATATTACATGGGATCTTAGATTCGTTTTATTATTATAATTTTTAAACATGTAACAATTAAGCTATACAAACAGCAATCGTTCTGTGCCTCTATTTCTGCTATAAAAATGCATATTCATCTGAGACTGATATTAAACTGTCACTTGAAGCAGACAAGAGGTTTTCGTACTAGTTAAACAAGTGGTAGTATTTGAGAGGAACTAAAACGTCACAAACGCAAATGGTTCTGTGGTTTGTTTGATCATACAATGTGTGTGTATATATTCATACCTTCGATAACGATGTGAACATCAGCTGTCTCAACTTTGAAGTACCAAAATGATGTCTATATTCACACTAGCTACGATGTCCATTATATATTGTGCCTGACATTAGGCTGAAAGTTGGAAAATATTTGCCAGAAACGAGCTTCGCGCCTTGGCGAAGCATGCATTTTACTAAAAACAAATTATTGTTGTGGAAATCCTTATAAATCATGCAACCAATCGTGGGGCTCATTACAAGAAGTATTTAGCGGTAAACCAATCATATTCATTATAACAACATCCTCAAAGCACATGTCAAGGTCAAATGTATAAACCAATCACAACGGAGTTTAGAACGACCTTGACCAGGGTCTTCTCATTTTTCACGCGCCATACACGAAGAAGACCCTGGGGACGAGGTTGTCCACCCCCCTCTTGGGCTATCAATTTTCTATGGGTCACGTGACCAGCCCCGACCAGGGTGTTTCCTCCACAAAAGGGAAGAGCCTTGGAACGAGGTTGGCAATTCCCAATGGTGGAAGTTTTTATTTGACGAGTACAGTATGTGGCCATTTCTCATCGTTACGATTTAATTAAAAAGAGTATCATTGACTAAAGCTAAATAACTGTTCTTTCGTCCTATGTAAAAATTGAATTGTTTAGCCACGGTTATGATGCACGCGACAGCCATACACAATCGCATATATACTCATACACAATAGCTTTCAAAAGAAATCCGTCGGGCAGAACGCGAATATATGAATATGCACCGATAATTGATCGGTTTAGCTACGGCCCTGACGACAGCCTGTTGAATTTCCATAGCGTTTTTTGGACACCATTTACATACATCCTATTGTCATTGGTAAACATGTGATGTGCGGAAAACACTTACCATCATTGTCATTAATAGTAATGGTTGTAACTCCTTTGACCTTGTCAATTTGCACACTGAGACTTGTTGTTGATAGATTTATAACAAAGACTTCGTCAGCTTCAATAACTGAATCATCCTTAGTTGCTATGGTAATCGTTTTATCAGTATTACCAGGACTAAAGTTCAATTCGGTTGACGAAAGTACATCAAAATCTGCATCACTAGCGGTTTCAAGTGAAACTGTAGCCCTAAATAAAATGCGAAAGTAGAGTATAGGATTAGGAATCGACACGTGTTGGAGAAGTGAAAGATACGTGTGTTCTAACCACAGTGCTCCCCAAAAAATAAGAAACTAAAAGAAATAAATACAACTTATATTTCTTAAAGTGCCAATGACACGAAATTTCACCCCAAAGGTTTATGGTTGCATTCTAAAGATCACTTAAAATGAATTATTAATTTCTTTTATAGAATTTTGGTAACTTGCTCCCTTTTCAAGATATTCAACTTTGTTTCATATGCAAATATCACAGGTGTGACATCACATCACATAATGAGTTTTCAGAAATGAGTTTTTCATATATATATATATATATATATATATATATAACTACAGACGGTACCGTTTCGGCCTAATGGGCCTCATCAGTGTAGTGCTGATGAGCAGGATGAAAGTAACTCTTATTTATAGTTACCTTTGATGCCTCACGATTGTGGGACATCAAAACCATGCCAGAGCGCTCAAACTGCAAGCAGTGAGCGTGCGCAATGCGTAAGCGGCATGGCTCATCCTGTAGAGCGCTCAATATGACCTAAAGGCCATAGAGCGATATCTAACTACAGACGGTACCGTTTCGGCCTAATGGGCCTCATCAGTGTAGTGCTGATGAGCAGGATGAAAGTAACTCTTATTTATAGTTACCTATATATATATATAGTTACCTATATATATAGTATATATAGTTACCTATATTTATAGTTACCTATATATATATAGAGGATATTTCACGGTGGCACGGAAATATGACTTTTATTTTCGAGTGGTGAAAACAATATTTTACGAACGAGCGCAGCGAGTGAGTAAAATATTGTTTTCAACACGAGAAAATAAAAGTCATATTTCCAAAGCCACCGCGAAATGTTCTTTTTATTATATGGATAAAAGTTGAAGCAAAAACAACAAAACGTATGACTTTATTAGTTTATTCAAGTTTTGTTTTCTGTTTTGTAGCTCACCGTATGGCAACAATGTTTATGTCTCTCCGCTTGCTAATCGAGGCTAAATAGTCGCTGAAGATCGCCAAATAGGACTAATTAGTCTTCCTTTTTGTGTTTTCATATTCTTCAGAAAACCTTGCCAAATCAGCGTCGAAAACATCAACAAAATGTCGAGAAGTTGTCATATTGTATATTCAAAACAGAAACGGCAAAATGGCGGGAGTTAGCGTGATTCCCGCGCGAGACGTTCCCGCGTAAGATATGATTTCATATTTCACTATAGTGAAATACAGAAAATATCAGTGGCGTATTTTACGGTATTTTACTCATATCCATATAATAAATATATATATATATATATATATATATATATATATATATATATATATATATATATATATATATATATATATATATATATATATATGACTTTGAGCGCTCTGGCATGGTTTTGATGTCCCACAATCGTGAGCCATCAAAGGTAACTGCGGTAAATAGCAGTTACTTTCATCGTGCTCATCAGCACTACACTGATGAGGCCCATAAGGCCGAAACGGTACCGTCTGTAGTTAGATATCGCTCTATGGCCTTTAGGTCATATTGAGCGCTCTACAGGATGAGCCATTGCCGCTTACGCATTGCGCACGCTCACTGCTTGCAGTTTGAGCGCTCTGGCATGGTTTTGATGTCCCACATTCGTGAGGCATCAAAGGTAACTGGCAAACTAGGCTTGCCACACTCATCAGGTGAATGGTGATATCGCGTATTTACATGATGTTATAACCTATAGGTAACTTGAGTTATTATATACAAATGTTGACGTCATTAGGAAAGCGTAAATACATGTCTGTAATCTGACTACGGACTACAAAGCAGGAATTTTTTCCTGTGCCTACATGCCGATTTTAGTTCGTTTCTTGAGTTCAATGAGCTTAGTTTGGAATAGTAAATTATAATGAACTTTTCGTGCAGGCATAATTTACAACGTTTTGTTTTGTATGATTAGGCCTTACATTTCTTTAAAATTTTCCAGCGAATAGAGTATTCTATGTTGGACTGTTTCAACTGCCAAATATATTTACTCAGTTCAGTTGAATGTTTATGTTCCGGGTACCTGAACGAGCTTGTATGGTTGTAGTATATCACTTTAAATGGGCCCGCTGTGTGTCCAACGTAGGTTTCTTTTTGTTGGTTGTCTTTTCTCGTTACTATGGCCTGGTACACAACGCTTTCGGTTAAACATTTGCCAGGGAGGAGGCATGATTCTTCCTGACGGCAATAACACTTTCTATCGGGGTTTTTAGTAGCCTCGGGCTGCTTGCAATCGAGTACGGTTCTGTTGTGCGTCGTGATGATATTGTGCACGTGGCATACAGCTGTAGCTTAACTTAAGGTTGTTCCTATTGAATAGTTTATGTAATGGATGGTTTGGTGGGGAGCATTCATCTACAATATAACCTGCAGAAAATTATTTTATTTATTTTATTTATTAGTTTCGCCATATTACAATACACAAAACTATAACAAGAACAAGAATAATATACATGACTATAGGCAGGGTGACCGCAACAGCGCGAGCCAATTACTGCAGGCCCGAATTAGGACATACAAACATAAAAAAACTATCTAAATAAAAATATAACTAATAGCAGCACTTAAGTGGCTGAACCAGAGTTCCAGCGGTATTACACTTGGTACATATAGTTTTGAATGTTCTTGGATTTTCAGGATCGTAGGAAATTTCCAAAGCACGGAAGTAATAACTTAGAATAGTAGATTTAAATGAGTTCAAATTTATCATGTTAAGGTTCAGTTCGTCAGCTAGGCTGTTCCACACCCTGGTTGTTCGAATTAGAAACGAGCGTTGATACGTCGTTGTTTTGCTCCTGGGAATGACAAACTTAGGTATATGTCCGTGCTTATAGACGATCTGGTCGGTCTGGAGCTTCGGGTTTTTGGTAATACAGAAGGTTCTATTATTACCAGATTGTTCACCATTTTAAAGAAAAAAACCAAATCCAAAAACTCATGCCAGGAACATAATGGAAGTAATGATAAAGACTGTGATCGCGAGGTATAACTGTCTGGACTGGAAAACGGCAGATTGAGAATAAATTTCGTGGCACGCCTTTGAACTTTTTCCAATCTTGCAATTAGGTTGATGGACTGTGGCAACCAGATCTGGGTGGCATATCCTAAGTGAGGGCGTACTAATGTTAAATACAATGCCCTCCTCACGCTGGTGTTTTGGATGAACCGTGCGTTCCGTCTGATATAATCTAGCAACTTGTTAGCACGGGAAGATTGTTCTACTACTTGATTATTCCAGGTGAG